AAGTGTTTTTAGCTAAGAATAAACTAAAAGAGTTACACAGTGTAGCTTTAATAGTTCTTTCTCTCTTCTTTTTCTCCACCCTGTCCACTCTTGGTATCCCAGCATCCCCTGGATAGGGGAACACGAGGAATGCTCTGCAATACTGCTGTAACACTCACATAGACCTGATGTAAGAGCTCCTAAACTCTCAAACACACACTGCACTTCCTGCATGAGGAGTGTGTAGAGAGCTGTGCATCCTTCAACACAGAGTTAAAGGAGTAATGAGAGAAGAACATATGGTGTGAGCCTCCCATGAGCGGCCAAACACACACACGCACACACACATTTCAGAGAAGAGGAACATATCTTCTATTGTCTGATGATGATGATGATGATGATGACACGTTCACTCCACTAATGATTAAATATGATACACGAGTAATGATCAATCATTGAGCTGTCAGAACCCACACAGGTTTAGACCCTCGACACATTAATCAAAGGCATGTAAAGCGCTGCTTCAGCAAATCCAAACCCAAGAGCCTAACAAGGTCTGTTCAACCATCCTGTTAGTTCAACTCTTCAGCACCGCTGTCTTACAAAGATCCAGTTCCAACCAAAAGTCCATTTAAAATACTTTCTATGTTGTATTATTTGGTGACATTAGAGGCACGATTACACATTTGACCTTTATGTGAATATTTAAAAGTCAATGCTATGTCAACATTGATCATTATTTGAAAATATTACTATAACAAATAATATAACTAATAACAGTAGCGACATTCTGATTAAAACGATATATAACATAATCATAAAATTTGGGATTCACTGATAGTTTTGAATATCAAAATGTTACAATGAAGTATATGAAAGATTTGAAAAAAATCAGTGTTACTAAGTTAGTAGGATTATAAATGAGTAACTGTAAGTGATGTGGTGATGATAAAGGCAGTTTAAATGGAAAAAAGTGGGAGTGCCGTTACGATAAAGTAAAAAAAATCACTAAAATCATTGTGCAACCCTATTTAAAATCATTAGTTTCTGCTTGTAAAGAACCATTTGAAACAATAAAAACAATGAAAAGACATATTTGCAATATACTGTATTTATATCCCACCAGACCTAATAGAGTGAGTTTAAGCTTAATTTTATATATAAAAAAGAAGTCCATGATGGCATTGATTTGAAAACCCAGGGTCTCCTTTCTCTTCCTAATAATGCATGTCCTTTGTTGCTTGGAAACATAACGCAATAGACTGACCTGAGAATTTAGCAGCTGCCAATGTGTGTGTGTGTGTGTGTGTGTGTGAGAGAGAGAGAGAGTGACTGAGTGAGTGAGTGAGTGTGTGTCAGTAGCTGCAAACACAAAGGTGTCTAACTATACCAATCTATACAGCATTTGCTGACACTGATCCGATATTTTGTGATTTCCAGATGTTTCAGATCACTCCAGGCCAAATGAACCACTCTATAAATGTAGACATCCAGTACTTTTGTTTGTCTGTGTCTGTATAAGAGCGAAAGGGAGAGTTGTTTATTCCTATGACAGGGACAAACAGCCTGAGGAGCCTCTTGCTAGTCAACTGAATAATGAAACACACAAACAAGTTGAAACACAGGATGGATAAACACTGAAAATGGAAAGAGAAAGACAAAAGCATGGATCACAGGATAGGGCAGGACAACATTATAAGACAAGAATAAGAAAAGGAGAAGGAGAGAAGCTGCGCACTGAAACATTATTATAAGCTTAATACTTAATCTTCAGTTTGGTGTGACGACACTACCAACCCAATTTATTTTATGAGAAGGTTTATAACTCACAAAGACAATCATGTTATCTCAAACCCTTCTGAAACACTTTCAAAATCTGATTTACTGTAAACTATTGTTGTACATTGTTGTAAATTACAGCAGAATTGTGTATTGAATCAATTTAACTAACTCACAAAAACAATAGTTTGTCATCATTATTTTACATATTAAAATATTGGGCTATAGGCTATTTTTTACACTAGCAAACTGGACCACTTTACTCTCTCAAATTAAATCTCTCAAATTTTGTCATATGACACTTATTGTGACAGAGGAAGACAGCAATTACAGTTTATCCCCAAAACTCACATAAAGTGCATAGATAAATGTTGTATCAAAGTTTCATTACAAAAACCGTCTAATCTGACATTCAATCTTAAATCTCAACACAGCCATCAAAACTCCTAATTAAAAACAATTAATGAACATGTTGCAAAGGTCTAGATCTGACTGTAAGCAGAAACTTATATTTTAAAAACTCCGATCGAAAGGATGAAGGTCATTCAGAAGAAGCGCGTAAAAAACTCACTCAGGTAAGCTACTACAAATTAATTTTTCTTTGTTATGTTTAAAGTGTTTTCTCATAAATACATCATGTCGTATTTTTAAATAAAGATGTATTGATGTAGGATATTGTCTTACCTCTGTGCGCGCGCACGCGGGACAGCCCGAGCGCGAGCAGCATCAGGATCAATATTCGTTTCATTGTAGTAAAACTCCTCCGTTCTTTCTGTTCGTCCTGATCTTTCTCACACTAACACAACGAGATCAATCAGTGAAGTGTATTATCCTATGTGTATCTAAATAAAATAGCAGAATCAACAATAAGAGTCGCTGAAAGATTTCAGGTGAATTCATTTGATGCTCTGTCGCGTGAAAGAGCTCGAGACTCTGAGAGAGAGAGAGAGAGAGAGAGAGGGAGAGAGAGAGAGAGACTGAGAGAGAGAGACTGAGAGAGAGAGAGACTGAGAGAGAGAGACAGAGAGAGAGAGAGAGACTGAGAGAGAGAGAGAGAGAGACTGACTGACTGACTGACTGACTGACTGACTGACTACTTGACCACCGCTTACAATTGCGATATGTGTCAAATAAAATTCTCTGTGTAGGGTGCTGGCAGTGGCACACAATGAGTTGTCTGTTAAATATATATATATATATATATATATATATATATATATATATATATATATATATATATATATATATATATATATTTAAGAATTAACTTAAGTTAACTTAATTCTCAAAAGTGTGATATTATTGTAACTCTGTGAAGTGTTTTGAAAAGTCGATGTTTGTCTCCACCTGGTGGTCATTTTCGTGAACTACAGTCTGGTAAAGGTCTGGGATTTATGTTGCACTTTTCACTACTCGTGCAGAGTTGTGATTCACTAAATAAGATCCAGTTCACTTTTTGCTTACATATCCTAAATAGGCTAATAAGGCAAATAATTGCAAATTTTTATTGAAAGTAAAATCTTTCAAATACAATTATCTAATCATCTAATAAGATTATCAGGTGTATTTATGTTTTGTTAGCTCTATGGCTCAGTTAAACTTTTTTATTATTATTTTTTTTGTATTAAACACACTTATTTACAAGACACAATTTACAAAACCTCCCGTTGGGAGACTTGTGTGCAGAACATAATTAAACAATTACATAGAACAAAATTCAATAAATAAAATAAATACAAATAAATATAAAAAAAATAAAGCAAAGACATTTCAGTCCATAAGGCATGTCAAAGTTATTATTGTCCTTATGTATTACATACATACTGTATATTGTCCTGAGTCTTCATACATTCTTAAAATAAAGTTACATGGAAGCTTTACAAATTATAATGACAAATATTTTGAGACATCTTCACATAAAGAGTATGTTGTCACTGGAGTCTTTCAGAAGTTTTCTATTGACTATTGATCATTTCTGAAGAAGTTCAGAAATGATAGTTTCATGTTCCTGGGAGCAGAACAAACACGGCTCCACTTCAAAACCAAATCTCTTTTAAGCATTGCTGCTGCTGCAATATCCATTTATAATTTTGAATTGCATTTATTGGATTTTAGGAGGTATAGGCCATTTCATGAACTTGATGTATTTATTTGTTCTTTTGTCATCATAGTGCCTTAATTTTACATTTTGGTCAAAATCATGAAATAGTCTACATTTTAATATTTTGCTAATACAATTATTTTTTTTTTTTTTTTTTGCTATTTAGGGGATATGGAGATGGTATGTAACCTTTGGAGCCAAAACATTGTTTTGCTAAAGTTTTAGTTCTTTAATGTTCCTTCCCCTATCCTAGACTGGGTGGAACGTAACATAACTGAAGGTTGTAGTACAGTTTGTTGTGTTTGCAGTTTGCAGAGTTATGGGACATATTGTTTTCAACATACAGGTTATAACGAAAGATAACTCCTCAGTTTTTTTTTTATTATTATATATATTTAAAAAAAAACTATACTAATGTATCTTTTATGTTGTGTACGGTAGTGTGTCATTTAGGTTGTGTTAAAGAAAATATATTTTATGTCAATGAGCACCGCATCTTAGTGGGGAGGAAATGTAGCTAAAAGTTGTGCTATGTGACAAGTGACCACTAGGGCGCATCAGTGTTCTGTAATTGACGGAGTTCTCGGATAAAATAAAACAATTCAAGAAGTGAACCAGAAAAATGCCAGAGTGAACCAGAGTGTTGCTTTGTGTAAGAATATAGAATTGTTAATATGAAGACATCAAGAGTAACATAACAAACTCCACATTGTTTTACTTTGTGCAAAAGTAGCCTATGCGTAAAGGTAAACAAACCACCAATAGCAACCTGGAATAATCTGAAAGGGATAAAATTTGTTATTCCACACGTTGAATATTCGTAAGCCAATATCTGTATGATATATTATGTGATACATTATTTTCTAAGGCCTCCAAACTTCTAAGGTAAACCTTTGCTGAAAAACCTGTTGCACAAGATCTATGGTTTCTGTCATCTGAATGTGTGATGCCCATTACAAACTCGTTGCCTCAACAAAATAACTAATTTAAGTTTTCCCTGTTGTAATAGGCTATATTTTAACATTATAGCTATACGACTAGGTGAATGCCTGTAATAAGTTATTCAGGGAAAACTAAAAAATCTGTGCAGTGCCAGTACACTGCAACGTACGTGACGTCATCATCGCTCGAGTCAAAAAACACAAGAGTGAAAGTAAAGGTTCGAAATTGATCCGCATTTGAACGGTCGCAGTGAGTTCTTTACAACACGGAGTATCAAAGTGTTTAATTAGAACATTTGAAATTTGCGTGCAGCTACTTGATAGAAAAGGAATATTTGAATCTGTAGGCTAATTACATGATAGAAAAGGAATATTTGAATCTGTAGGCTAATTACATGTTGATCAAGGTGAGTGTTCAAGGTGAGTGTTCTCGAGAACCTTTACAGGTGACTTCCGCATTTCACATTCACATTTTCCATGAAGAAAAAAATATTTCTTTTATATGAATTTGATATTTTTACATTTTAGCATGTTAATGTGGTTTCGTTGGCGTTGCTGTGTCGTGTTGCCTGATGATTATTTTTGCTTTTGTGAATACGACTGTATTTGTTTGAACGCCGCGTCTCATCCTGTTTCTCTGATTCAGGATCTGACTCAATATATTAAACCACATTTAAATGACTAAGGATGACAAGAAGATGATTTTGTTAGGTTAAAACTGAGAACTTTATTTAAAAACAATAAGCCAGCCATAAAGTGCTTTTTAATGAAAAAATAAACTATTTAACAAAGGCTTTAAGACTTTCAACATAAACCTTGTAAAACCTGTTGTACAAGATCTACTGCCTTCTGTCATCTGACTGATGATGATCATGCGTATTTGCTGTCGTGTTGCCTGAAGATTATTGTTGCTTTTTGTGTATTTGATTGAACGCCGCTTCTCATGATCCTGAATCTCCCTGACCCATTCATCTGAATTATTGTGAATTATTGGTTGTTTATCATTTCCATACATAATCAGTGTTTGAGATCAGATTCTGTTTTGACTCTTCAGATTCATCATGGATGACACACAAACATCCAGCGACGAAGATTTTTCACCAGAATGCAGGTACTTTGTATAAAAACTATTAAACCAAATGACAGAAGATGACAAGAAGATTTTGTTGGTCTAAATCTGTTAATTTTATTTAAAAACAATAAGATCAGCCTCGCCATAAAGTGCTTTTTGTTGAACACACCTTGAATACACATGTTGAATACACACCTTGTATTAAATGATTATCATTATGAAGGATTAAATTTGCTCTGTTATAGTTCAGTTGATCAGAAGAGATCAGAGCCAGAGCCCAGCTGTGTGTCTATGAGGAGTGACGGGTCTATGGTTCCACCAATGCATTTTAAGAGTGGAGATACACAGACTGATCTCAGGTATACTATTTCTGGAAAAAAATATAATTTTTCTAAGTCTAAATCTAATTTTCTAATTACTAGCTAAATCTAATTTTTAGATTAGACATTATATGTGAGCAGTATTTTATACATAAAATAAGAAATTCTTGTTGTAGATTGTTTATAGGCATTTTTATTTTTATCTGATATTTGAACGGGTATGTTGCTCACACAGGGACACACATGTGAAAGCTCTCAGTTCAATTTACATATTTTGTAACAGAATAAAATTGGATTGTCTAACAGTGCTATTCAAAATATATTTTTCTTTTAGTAATTAATGTGTAATTCATTGAATACTGTAATTCAAACCATTAACTTTAATCTCTCTCTGTTATAGTTCAATTCATCAGAAGAGATCAGAGTCAGAGCCCAGCTGTGTGTCTATGAGGAGTGACGGGTCTATGGTTCCACCAATGCATTTTAAGAGTGGAGATACACAGACTGATCTCAGGTATACTATTTCTGGAAAAAAATATAATTTTTCTAAGTCTAAATCTAATTTTCTAATTACTAGCTAAATCTAATTTTTAGATTAGACATTTTTAGATTAGACATTATATGTGAGCAGTATTTTATACATAAAATACGAAATTCTTGTTGTAGATTGTTTATAGGCATTTTTATTTTTATCTGATATTTGAACGGGTATGTTGCTCACACAGGGACACACATGTGAAAGCACTCAGTTCAATTTACAATTTTTGTAACAGAATAAAATTGGATTGTCTAACAGTGCTATTCAAAATATATTTTTCTTTTAGTAATTAATGTGTAATTCATTGAATACTGTAATTCAAACCATTAACTTTAATCTCTCTCTGTTATAGTTCAATTCATCAGAAGAGATCAGAGCCAGAGCCCAGCTGTGTGTCTATGAGGAGTGACGGGTCTATGGTTCCACCAATGCATTTTAAGAGTGGAGATACACAGACTGATCTCAGGTATACTATTTCTGGAAAAAAATATAATTTTTCTAAATCTAAATCTAATTTTCTAATTACTAGCTAAATCTTATTTTTAGATTAGACATTAGAATGTGAGCAGTATTTTATACATAAAATAAGAAATTCTTGTTCCCAGATAAACAGTAATTCTGAGGCACTCAAAAGGAAAATAAATATAAAAAGCCTTTATTTAAACTTGGCTATCCATTAAAAACATATGCCAACAGTCATTATATACAAACATTGATCACAATGAAGGTTTAAAGGCACTAACGCGTCGCATTATCTAGAGAAGAGACCACCAGAACAGATGCCCCCAGCAGAGTTTATCTTGAAACTCACAGAATGGACACTAACAAACAATGTTTTCTTATTCCAAAACAAATTCTTTAAGCAGATAAAAGGTACAGCAATGGGTGCTTGCTTTGCACCAAATTATTCAAATTTGTTTATGGGTCTCTGGGAAGAAACATTTGTCTATTCGAGTTTGAATGAATATGTGACTAAGATTGTATGGTGGGGTAGGTATATTGATGACATTCTTCTTATTTGGTCTGGGTCACAGCAAGAGTTGCTACAGTTTCATGCATATCTTAATAACACTAATCCTAATTTGAAGTTGAGTCTAGAGTTCTCATTAACAAATATTCATTTCTTGGATCTGGAGATTTCAAAAGATGACAAAGGTGAATTACATACGTCCGTGTTTAGAAAACCCACTGATCGGAATACCATACTGAGGGCAGAAAGCTACCACCCACCTTGGTTAATAGAGAATATTCCTTTTGGCCAATTTCAAAGGATTAAACGCATATGTGATTCTGAAGATGTTTTTGAAAAAAATGCTCAAGACATGGTTCAAAGGTTTAAGAAAAGAGGGTATAAACATAAGACTCTAGATATAGCCTATAATAGAGTAAAAGAATTTGGTGGAGAACAGCTGTTGGTTCAAAAACAGAGGCGACAACAAGAGCCAAACCAAGTTTATTTTGTTACACAATACAGTAAGTCAAGCTAATAAGATAAAGCAAATTATCAAGAAGAATTGGGACATAATAAAAAGTGATACCGTGTTGAGAGATATACTGCCGGAGGTACCTACTATCACCTTTAAACGAGCTCCTACTCTAAAAGATAGTCTTGTGAAAAGCTATATGCTTCCTGTAGAGAATAAAACCTGGCTAGGCAAAAAAAAAAAAAAGAGGTAATTATAAGTGTGGAAACTGTAATCATTGTAGCAATATGGTAAATACCAATATTTTTACAGATGTGACATCAAATCGCGAATACAGTATACATTCATTTATTAATTGCAATACCTCATTTGTTGTTTACAGACTTGAATGTCCTTGTGGTTGTTTTTATTGGAAGAACTAAGCGTAAACTTAAAGAAAGATTAGCAGAGCATAAATATGCGATAAGAACAAGCAACTACCAGTATCCTATGGTTCTACATTATAGAGAGGCGAACCACGGAAGTAACGATACTTTAAAAATCTTTGGGATAGAACATGTTAAAATATCACCAAGAGTGGGGGATTGACTTAAAAAACTTTTGCAAAGAGAATCGTTTTGGATTTACACTTTAAAAGCTAATCAATACCCAGGTCTAAACTTGGAATTGGATTTTTCTCCTTTCTTGTAACAGGCTATATGCATGTGAAAAGAGGTAAAATATAGAAATTGTAAAGGTATTTAACATCTGAGACTGTACATATTTATTAGAGTATGAAATTGAATTTGTCATATAAAGTAACCTCTTGTTATATGTATCCATTTATATTGATATTTTAAACTATCCTGATATGTAAATGTAATTTGTCTTATCTAAAGTAAGTTGTTCCTATTGCTCTTTGTCAGGTGATATGTGCAGATGAGCACCTGTGACCATGCAGATATATAGCTTGCAGTCTATTGACTGCCATTTTTGAATTTGCCCTGAAGAAGGCCAATGAGGCCGAAACATGTTGGCATATGTTTTTAATGGATAGCCAAGTTTAAATAAAGGCTTTTTATATTTATTTTCCTTTTGAGTGCCTCAGAATTACTGTTTATCTGGGAAACACTTTGGATCTCCAAACTGAAGAGCACCAAAGGAACACACCTCGTAACACCCAAGTAGCACTCCTAGTAATTCATTTGAAGAAATTCTTGTTGTAGATTGTTTATAGGCATTTTTATTTTTATCTGATATTTGAACGGGTATGTTGCTCACACAGGGACACACATGTGAAAGCACTCAGTTCAATTTACAATTTTTGTAACAGAATAAAATTGGATTGTCTAACAGTGCTATTCAAAATATATTTTTCTTTTAGTAATTAATGTGTAATTCATTGAATACTGTAATTCAAACCATTAACTTTAATCTCTCTCTGTTATAGTTCAATTCATCAGAAGAGATCAGAGCCAGAGCCCAGCTGTGTGTCTATGAGGAGTGACGGGTCTATGGTTCCACCAATGCATTTTAAGAGTGGAGATACACAGACTGATCTCAGGTATACTATTTCTGGAAAAAAATGATAATTTTTCTAAATCTAAATCTAATTTTCTAATTACTAGCTAAATCTAATTTTAAGATTAGACATTATTAGAATGTGATCAGTATGTAACAGTGTGATGATGATAATAACTTCATAAAGTAATTACATAAAGTAGACTGTAGAGTGTGAATGCTCCAAGTATTATTTTACTATTTTATTTTTAAAAGCTGTAGAGGAAAGGTTATAAAGAAAGCCCTTATATGTAGATGGTTTGGGCGTCTTTTATGCAAATGACTTTTATGCAAAGCTTGTGCAGGTGCCACTCATTCTGTATAATGCTCACAATTCACCAACGAATGAGATAAAGAACAAATTCATGCGTGTATGCACTTTTTGTGAATTGGGCTAAGATTTTTCATGAGAAGTTAATCATATGCTCAAGATTTTTATGAGAAAGAATAATCAATGTTTATGTAATAATGACAGATTTACATTTTACAGACATGAAGTCCTCAACAGGTTTAGATCAAATCTGATGAAGAAGTTTGAGTGTCTGTATGAGGGAACAGGAATGCAGGGAAACCCAACACTCCTGAATGAGATCTACACAGAGCTCTACATCACAGAGACTGAGAGTGGAGACATCAGTAATGAACATGAGGTGAGACAGATTGAGACACAATCCAGGAGAGCAGCAACAGAGGACACACCGATCAAATGCAATGACATCTTTAGACCTTTACCTGGACAAGACAAACCCATCAGAACTGTGCTGACGAAGGGAGTCGCTGGCATTGGAAAAACAGTCTCTGTGCAGAAGTTCATCCTGGACTGGGCTGAAGAGAAAGACAATCAGGACGTCCAGCTCATATTTCCACTTCCTTTCAGAGAGATCAATCTGATGAAGGACAAAACACTCAGTCTTTCAGATCTTCTTCATGTCTTCTTCCCTGAAACTAAGGAAATAGAAATATCCAGTGTCAAATATAAAGTGTTGTTCATCTTTGATGGTCTGGACGAGTGTCGTCTGTCTCTGGATTTTCAGAGCGATGTGAGGTTGTGTGATGAGAGTGAATCAGCCTCAGTGGACGAGCTGTTGACGAACCTGATTGTGGGGAATCTGCTTCCCTCTGCTCTCATCTGGATCACCTCCAGACCAGCAGCAGCCGATCTCGTCCCGTCTGAGTTTGTCCATCGAGTGACAGAGGTACGAGGCTTCAATGATCCACAGAAGGAGGAATACTTCAGGAAGAGAGTCAGTGATCAGAGTCTGGCCAATACAATCATCACACACCTGAAGTCCTCAAGGAGCCTCTACATCATGTGCCACATCCCAGTGTTCTGCTGGATCTCAGCCGCTGTTCTGGAGAAGATGATGAGCGAAGCAGAGAGACGAGAGATTCCCAAGACTCTCACTCAGATGTACACACACTTCCTGATCCTTCAGACCAACATCAAACACGGGAAGGACTATGAGAAGAAGGTGACAGATGAAGAAATGATCTTCAAACTGGGGAAACTGGCATTCAAGCAATTGGAAAGAGGCAATGTGATCTTCTATGAGGAAGACCTGAGAGAGTGTGGCATTGATGTGACAGAAGCATCAGTGTACTCAGGATTGTGCACTCAGATCTTCAGAGAGGAGTTTGGCTGGTATCAGGGGAAAGTCTTCTGCTTTGTTCATCTGAGCATTCAGGAACATCTAGCGGCTCTATATGTGCATCTCTCCTTCACAAACAAGAACACAAATGTGTTTGACCCAATCGCTAAACAGAGTTTGTGGTCTAAAGTTAAGGACTGGTTTCATCAAAATTCATCAGAACATGTTTCATTATCTGCTCTGCATCAGAGAGCTGTGAATGAGGCTCTACAGAGTAAAAATGGACATCTGGACCTTTTCCTGCGGTTCCTTCTGGGTCTGTCAGTGGAGTCTAATCAGATTCTCCTTCAAACACTAATGAAACAGACACACAGATCTCACAGCAATGTGGAAACAGTTAAGAACATCAAGAAGAAGATCAGGACCATTGACTCTCCAGAGAAATCCATCAATCTGTTCCACTGTCTGAATGAACTGGGTGATCGTTCACTAGTGGAGGAAATACAACAGTATCTGAAATCTGGAAGAATAAAGGAAGCCAAACTCTCTTCATCTCAGTGGTCAGCTGTAGTCTTTGTGTTGTTGACATCAGAGGAGAAGCTGGATGAGTTTCATCTTGATCATTATGTTGGAAGAGAAAATAAAAGTGAAAAACTAAAGGTTCTTCAGAAGCTGCTTCCTGTGATTAAAGAATCCAGATCAGTTCTGTAAGTATCAATCAAAACAATCAGTTCACTGTTAAAGGTACAATATGTAAGAATTTTGTATTAAAATATCCAAAAATCACTTACTCCGTGGGATATATTTCCTGCAGTTGTGTACCTAGAATATCCCAAAAGTCTCTGAAGATTTTTTATTTCAGAGAAATTACAATTTAAGTAAGTGGCCGTCCCGGAAAAAAATGTCGCCTGTCAATGACACAATATCTGCGCTATCCTCGGTTTCTGCTCGTACTGCCATAGCCATGACGTAACCATGGCGACAGACGTCGACAACTGCGTAGTGCGTAACGTTTAGCGGCACGCGGTTCTTGTTTCTTTCAAACATAGACCATGGCAAGCAGACTTTTGGACAAACAAGGATAACTAAAATGAGGATCAATATCAGCGTGGCGTTTTTGAGATGCCGAGAGCTCCACGTGCGCGACTAACTTGGACGTGACAGAGCTTCACGAGTCACGGACAGCTTAATTAGACAAGTGAGCAAATGTACAGAAAACAAATCAATGTGCTGCGTTACCTCACGAGTTTAATTCGTCTAATAAACTGACTTGTGTGAGTAATCCAGCACATGTGGGTAGTTTGCTAGAATTAAATGTCCTTATTCCTTTATATCCGTGGGACTCTCGTGTGATATCTGTCTCTTTAACAATCGCGACCTGCTTTATACCACTGTAATGTTAAAATACATTAATGTTTGCACTCATCTATAAATATTATTAGATCCATCAGCTTGACATCAAGTCCCATCATTCAGCTCATCACTGTGTCATCAACCTACGCCTTTGTTGTTATTGGAAACGGCGCCCTCTTATGGTGAAAAAAATCTTACATATTGTGCCTTTAAAACATTAGGAAAATACAAGTTCATAAGTCTTCAGTGCTGCAGATGTTGTCTAGAGTTCAGTGGTCAGTATTTTATATTGTTTCCTAAACCGTGCCGTTTTGCAGCGTGTAATTGGCCATCGGTCCTCTCGGCAGCAAGAAAAACAAAACTTTTATTCATTGGATTATATATAGCCTAGAAAGAGCACTTCCTTTGCAATAACTAAAAGCTGTCACTTATCTCAGTTCACAATCTCACAAAGTTACATTAAAAAAATATAAAGATGTCTAAACTGCATAAAGAAAAAAATTGTTAAAGGAGAATTCAGGCGAACAATGAACCTTTGGTCTAATAAAACATCGGTACCTAGTCAATCGTTCTCTGAGATTTGTTTTCATGATAATCGAATGTTAAGAGTTTTATCTCTAAAAACTGTTTAGCGTATAATGCTAGTAATGGGGGCATTGATTAAGTAAAAAGAAATCGCTAGTTTAAACCACTAACAAGGCTCAAAATAGCCCCACACTAACACAGTAACATAATGAGGCTCCATACATGCAAAACGAAGCATTGAGAACTTTGTAAGTGTACAAACTGTTTAATAAGAAGATACTTTATTAAGACAGTGCACTTTGTGTATACAGACAGGAGCCATCTTAAAAAATAGTCTCGATAAGTCAAACCACGAACGTCGTGCTGAGTGATCTGAACTGTATGAAGTTCAGCGAACTTCTGAACTGTATGAACGGCGTTCGGGGATCGACTAATCGACTTATATTTTCTAAGATGGCTCCTGCTGTGTATACATGAAGAAATCAGCACTGAACAAAAACTCCAGCATTTTAAACTGAGTGGATTCTGACTAAATGAAACACCTCTGATTGGCCATTGCGTTCAAGAGATGGACCATTGTGTTCATTTCTCACTGTTAAAAAAACGCGTTGTAAATAAAAATATTTTACCATGAACCTTGAATAATAATTTGACATTGTTAAAAAATATTGGAATTAATATTTTTTTGAAAAGCTATTTGATGGTGTTTAAATTATGCTATTTTCATCTCTCTACAGGTTGAGTGATTGTGGCGTCACAGATGAAGGTTTTGCTGCTCTGACTTCAGCTCTGAGATCAAACCCTGAACACCTGAGACATCTGGATCTGTCTGGGAATAAAATAGGAGAATCAGTGAATCTGCTGTCTGATGTACTACAGAATCCTCACTGTAAACTGGAGAGACTGTGGTAAGATCATATTTGACTCACACACATGAATCACAATGTAAAGTATATTTGAAGTGTTCAGCCTCTTTCTGCTGCTGTGAGTTCAGCTGATTGAGCTGTAAATGATTGAACACACGAGCTGATCCTGTTGTGGCAAAAACAATTATTAATCAAACAGCATCACAGCGTAAGAGACACCAAGATTCCAATTGGTGTACGCTGATGACGCGGTTTTATATACTCATGGTTCCAATGCCAATTCTGTCGTTGCTAAACTGACTGTGGCAATGAACAAAGTAACTGAGTGTTTGAACAAGTCCTGCCTTACATTGAATAGAGAGAAAACGGTCACAATGTATTTTTCAAGCAAACCAGTTCAAAGTACTCTCCCGCATATCATGTGGATAGTTACATGATTAAAAATGTGGAACAAGTTAAATACCTAGGTGTGACCCTGGACCCTGTATTAAATTTTAAAATACACGTTAAAGGGGTATGCCGTGTTCTGAAATTTAACATTACTAACTTTCGGTTCGTTAGAAGCTCTTTATCATTGGACATTGGTAGCAGCAAAATCTTATTTTTCCAGGCAATGATTATATCCCACATAATTTGTATTGTATGTCATCATGGTCTCAAGCTAAAAAAACTGTTTTAAACCCCCTAAGATCATTACATAATCAAGCCTTGAAAATCCTCGATAAAAAGTTTCAGCGGTACCACCACTGCAATGTGCTGGAAAAGTACAGTATACTAAGTTTTGACAATCTTTTTATAGCTTCTCACGGGCAGTTAAAGACTGGCTTTTAGAGCAACAGTCCTGTTCACACGAAGGGCACCAGATGGGTGTTTTGGCCATTTGGCTTTTACATTGTATTGTGTTTTTATATGTAATATTGAAAGGAAAAAGAAAATAAAATTTTCATTTTTTTCTCTTTAAATATTATTATTTTGTTTATTTCTTTATTTTTTTCTCATTCTTTTTTTATACTTTGTACACTGTGCTTTCCTAGTAAATTGTCTTTTTATATTGTATTAAAATAACCATCACTGTTACATAATTTTTATATGTTAATTGTTTTGTAATGTAATTTTATCTTGTCATAGATAAATTTGTGAATTTGTGTAGTAGACGGTGGGCCGAGCGCGTTTTTCGTGTTGTTGATCGATCTCCATTGATAGAATATACGTTTCTTTTATGTACGCTATCAAGTCTTAATATGTAGTCAAATAAAATTTGTTGGCAATTCTGGTTTGATCATATATTTTCACAAACTAATGTTTTATTTTTCAATTTGTCAACAGCTCTAGTAGCTGAACCAATCGGATTGTAGTTTTTAACTCATTAAAAATACTAACCAATCGCAGACGGCCGACTAGGACCCCGACATGGGCGGGAGTGACATAGCGATAATGTTATTGTAGGCCTATATTTATATATTTAACATAAATAAGACACTTTATCTTGAATATGGTGTGTTGTGTGCATGTTACTAACTGTACTTCAACAAACATCATACCCTTTTCAGTAACAAGTTGGATCAAGTTAGACAATGTTCTTAGAGTGTAGGGTGACCATATATTGATTACCAAAAACCAGGACACTTGGCCCGCCAAACAGATCCTCAAATGATACTCGAAGTTTAATCAAAGATGCCTTATTAATTTCAATACATTTAAAGTAAGCTATGCCTCCTCTGTATGGATAGAAAATGGTTATATTACAAGACACAAATTCAGATAGGCTTATCAGAGGTTACTCAACATGTTTTATTATGACAGGTTTCTAAAATAATGAATGAAATAATGATAGAAATAATGTCTCTTCTGCATTAGAAAAATAAATATATAAAAAATAAATAACAAAAAGAAACACCCCCAAATTGAACAAAAATAGCTCTCACAGACTTACAAAAACCAACTAACAAAATATATTTTTATCTTTAGTTTTCTTCCTCTTTATCCTGTTTTTCTCCCTCATCCTCCTTGTTTGCCTATATCTATATTTTGCTGTAGAGCTGATCTTTCCCAGCAGTTTTTTGAAAACCAGGACATTTTCATCACTTTATAAAAACAGCCAGGACGGCCAGGACAGGATATGAAAACAGGACTGTTGGTCACCAAAAAGCTGTGGAAAAATGTGAAATCACAGAAGGCCACATTCCAGATGTGCCAATTCATGTTGGTTATCATAGAGAATGCTATATGCAGTATGCTAACAAAAGAAATATTGAGAGAGCCAGCAAGAAGAAAATACAAAACAGGAAGTTGAAGGTTTGTAAGGCAGCTTTATAATGGTTAAGTGTAGCCTAGTTGTTTGACCTCATATGTTTGGATAAGTCATGGTATAAATGCTTAGAATCGTTTTTAACACCAAACATAAGCTATTGATATTTAAATCTCAGAAATACTGAAAAAAAAACATGCATATATAATTGTATAATATAATTATATATATTTAAGTTAATTATTAATTATATATTTATTCTTACAAAGGTTGAATATGTATTATCTTATCAAGACTACCTTTATAACTAAATACCAATTTAACTATTTGGTCAAGCAGGCTTTATTAATATTAGATGGCAGCAGTAATAGGCTATAATGGTAGAACATTTAACATATATTAACAACATAAATAGATCCCTCCGAAACTACACACACACACACACGCACACGCACACGCACACGCACACACACACACACACACACACACACACACACACACACACACACACACACACACACACACACACACACACACACACACACACACACACACACAACACACACACACACACACACACACACACACACACACACACACACAACACTGCCCATGTAAACCCTGCCAGGCCAGACCATGGATGTATAAGAAAAAGGCCAGACATAATACATAACCCTGTGTATTAATAGCCTCATAAAGCCTAATAAAAGGCTTCTAGAGACACATTTTTTCAACATGAAATGTGCTCCACCAATCAGGAGAGGAAAACTTTAAAAGGTTTTTATGATGAATTGTAAAAAAACATTTCATTTTCATTGTTTCAGCAGAATAGATGTGTCAGGGCATAGTCAGATCAGGTCAAGATGTCTCTCACAGGAGGGCTGAGGATCTGGGATTACCTGGGGAAACAGATGAGTATAGTTGCAAACAGTCAGACATGGGCAGTATTTCAATTAAATGTATTTTAAATACGTATTTAATTACTTTAGTGTATTTTGTAATTTGTATTTTGCAGGTGTGGGAAAAATAAATTGTAGTTTTGTAACAAAATATTTTGAGGGAGTGTATTTGGAGAAATTCAAATACTTAAGAAAAATCTCCATAGTAAATGATTTTGCTATAGTTCGGTCTGATGTTGGCAATGGGAATGTCCAGGTTAGATGCACGATATGTTATTGCTACTATTTGTGTTATTGGCCTGTCAGTAATAATAATACAAAAAAGACTTAAGATTATTGTGGGAGTATTTTTGTATTTTCAAAATACTAATTACTTTTATTTTATTTAAATACATTTTTTCACATCAGTTTTTGTATTTTATTTTGTTACATTTCACGAGCCAGTATTTGTTTTTTGTAACAAAACTGTTTTTGATATATTTGTGCCCACTTCCGTAAACAGTGAGTGTAGTAAAATAATTGGTTCACAGTCTAATAAATGAGGATTTACATTTATGAAGGCAGCACTTCAAAAAAAGTGTAACTAGATGAGCCCAGATTAAAATGCATACAGTAATCACACCTTGTATGATAAAAACATACCATTAGGACTCAGCAGTAACTTGAAGTTGTTAACCAAATTTGCTATCAGCTTGTAGTAGATGAAATATTAATATTACATTTAGGTAATTACTTTGTTGCTGTTAGGTGATAAAATGTAAAACACTAAGGATACAAATTGTAATGTAATGTTATTTAATACATGGTATCTCTTCCATGACTTAGCTATTAGGATATCTGCTGTTGATGTAAACCTATTTAATGATTTTTACTATTCCATACCTAGCTAGTAACGTTTGGTTGTGTTGTTGATGTAATCATATGCAGCTAGCTAATAACGTTACATGTTATCTCTTCCATGACTAACGTTAGCTAGTATAAGTTGATGTAAACTTATATGATAAATGTTATCTTTTTACGTTACACCTGGAATCTTGGATGCCGCTGTTAATGTTTCTCGACTTCGGATAGGATTCCTGCTGGAAAATGTTTGATTTTGTAGAATTCGTCAGAGACAATTTATGGTGTGAACCTGTGGCTGGCTAGCTAGCTAGCTAGAAGAGACAAGTCGTGATAATATATTTTGAACGAATACTATTGGCAGACGGTTAGTCACGTGTCAATAGAATTCGTTTTTTGATTGGTTAGAGCCATAGTACTCCGTCGCCTTTGCCTAATCCGTTTATGAAACGTAAATTTAGTTTTCAAAAAACTATGATCGACTTGACACTGCCAACAAATGGATACTTGTTCAGAAAAAAATTATTTAGTTTATGTGAAAAAAGCAGCTATCTCTATCCTTGAGGATCTATCATTTCAAAAATTACAGCAGATAGCAGCGGTCAGCCCACCGTCTATAGGACTACAGATGGAAATAAGCATATTGCTAAATCTGGTGCAACCATCTTCTCAATGTAACTGAACATTGTCCTGTTAAAAATAAATTAAACTAAAAAAAAATTGTGAAAACTCCTTCTTCCCAGTTTCTGTAACTTTCTGTAACTGTATCTTACACTGGTTTGGACTGATTTCTAACCCCCCTAACTTTATGGCTACCCTTAAGATCTTTTAACCCTAGGTTTTTTTTTACCTCTGACAACTCATGTAAAGAAGGTTGTCTTTACTCATGCCTTCACAGCTGTGTAAACATGATAATAGAAAAACAAGACTATCTGTTCTCGTAATTCAGGAATACAGATAAAGAGACCATACAATAGTCCAATGCAATGTCTATTATTAATCAGTCAGTATTAAAAATTCTACTACTATCCTCAATAACATGAAACTGCAGGACTGAGAGTCACACTGAAATACACACTTTCACACACAATCAACATTTCAGTCTCTTGACTTAAACAGACTCGAGCTCAACACAGTCAGAACTGAGAAATGAAGAACATCCAGGATTCATTCTTCCTGTTAATTATGTTTAAATTTTTGCATTGACACTTTCTAAAGTTTTGTTTTTAATTTTGTAGAATTAAATCTCACACACACACACTAATTGATTCTCGATACATATTACATAGTACAGATCACACAGTAAAAACTAATCTGTAGTGAAAATAGTCATTTATTAAAGCAGATTTTGCACAAGACTGACTTTTATTATAGTGCAAATAAGAGATTCTTTTTCCTGATTGAATGATACTTTAGATGTTTTATGATCATGTTTTGTGACATTTTATATCTCAATCTAATGATCCATCAAACATATTAATTTGTGCTTTAAGTTTGAACTTTCTCTTTAATAATGGATTCACTGCTAAACTGATCTGATCTGAACTGAGAGAGTGAAGAGTGTGTCGTTGTTCTCTACAGGTTGAGTGATTGTGGCGTCACAGATGAAGGTTTTGCTGCTCTGACTTCAGCTCTGAGATCAAACCCTGAACACCTGAGAGAACTGAGTCTGTCTGGGAATAAAATAGGAGAATCAGTGAATCTGCTGTCTGATGTCCTACAGAATCCTCACTGTAAACTGGAGAGACTGTGGTAAGATCATATTTGACTCTCACACATGAATCACAATGTAAAGTATATTTGAAGTGTTCAGCCTCTTTCTGCTGCTGTGAGTTCAGCTGATTGAGCTGTAAATGATTGAACACACGAGCTGATCCTCAATAACATGAAACTGCAGGACTGAGAGTCACACTGAAATACACACTTTCACACACAATCAACATTTCAGTCTCTTGACTTAAACAGACTCGAGCTCAACACAGTCAGAACTGAGAAATGAAGAACATCCCGGATTCATTCTTACTGTTAATTATGTTTATCTTTTTGCATTGACACTTTCCAAACTATTGTTTTTAATTTTGTAGAATTAAATCTCTCTCACACACACTAATTGATTCTCAGATGTTACATAGTACAGATCACAATAAAACTAATCTGTAGTGAAAAGAGTAATTTATTAAAGCAAAATTTTCACCAGACTGACTTTTAATATACATGTAGAGCAAATAAGAGATTATTTTTCCTGATTGAATGATACTTTAGATGTTTTGTGACATTTTATATCTCAATCTAATGATACATCAAACATATTAATTTGTGCTTTTAGTTTGAACTTTCTCTTTAATAATGGATTCACTGCTAAACTGATCTGATCTGAACTGAGAGAGTGAAGAGTGTGTCGTTGTTCTCTACAGGTTGAGGGATTGTGGCGTCACAGATGAAGGTTTTGCTGCTCTGACTTCAGCTCTGAGATCAAACCCTGAACACCTGAGAGAACTGAGTCTGTCTGAGAATAAAATAGGAGAATCAGTGAATCTGCTATCTGATGTACTACAGAATCCTCACTGTAAACTGGAGAAACTGTGGTAAGATCATATTTGACTCTCAGACATGAATCACAATGTAAAGTATATTTGAAGTGTTCAGCCTCTTTCTGCTGCTGTGAGTTCAGCTGATTGAGCTGTAAATGATTGAACACACGAGCTGATCCTCAATAACATGAAACTGCAGGACTGAGAGTCACACTGAAATACACACTTTCACACACAATCTGTAAAATGAAAACACACACACATGCACTAGTTGATACTCCATAGGCTAGTTTTACTGTTACTTAGTTCTGTACTATGTAGTGAATAGAGCAGTCATTTGTAATTTTTATACCAAGTACCACCTTAGAAAATATTTGTCTCTCCAAGCATCACCATAATGAGCAATATTAAAATACAGTGGCGTAGTTGGCCTAACTATTCAGCTACAGCTATGATAAAATAAAGTTTTGCGGTCCTATTGGAATCCAGAGGAAGCATATGCAGCGACTGTCTTCTTCCACAACCAGGCACTGCACAATATTTTGAATTCCTCGGTAGCTCGATCCGGTTTGTCATCACAAGGTAGGCATCAATGTTATTTAGCAATTCGTGTAATGTGCGAATCGGTGGGCGGGGCTAAACCGGCCGTGTTGAAGTAGGTGTTGATCTTCTTCTGCGGGGGTGGTGTTTTAACCCCTTTGACGTCATATTTCCCCACTTTTAAAAACGAGTCGTTTGTGGGGCTGATGTCAATAAAAGCTTTTATTGGACTAACAAGGACGTTTTCAGTTCTGAGACTTACAGGATATTCTTATAATATGATGACCTCTTAGATGTCAAAAGCTCAAGGAAAATTTGATTTCTCAGTTCATCACCCCTTTAAATCAATGGTTTCGGGAAAGACTGACTTGTTGAACTACGTTGATAACGACTGAACATGCAACCATTTTACATGTACATTTACATTTATTCCCTGGGAATCGAACCCATGACCTTGACATTGCAAGTGGCAACGCTCGACTGTTTGAGCTACAGGAAACCAAACTTGGCCAACAATGCTTTTGGGAAACACAACAATGATCTGCACTTCTCTTGCCGGATTGAAGCCACGATAGATATCAATTTCATTGAACTTTTAACCATTTCATCATCCACCAGTAAAATAATATTTAATTCAGTGATTCCTCTGCACACCACAGTTTGAGAATCAGTGAAATAGAGTCATTTATTAAAGCAGATTTTGCACAAGACTGACTTTTATTATAGTGCAAATAAGAGATTATTTTCCTGATTGAATGAAACTTTAGATGTTGAATGATCATGTTTTGTGACATTTTAGATCTCAATCTAATGATCCATCAAACTTATTAATTTGTACTTTAAGTTTGAACTTTCTCTTTAATAATGGATTCACTGCTAAACTGTTTTGATCTGAACTGAGAGAGTGAAGAGTGTGTCGTTGTTCTCTACAGGTTGAGGGATTGTGGCGTCACAGATGAAGGTTTTGCTGCTCTGACTTCAGCTCTGAGATCAAACCCTGAACACCTGAGAGAACTGAGTCTGTCTGAGAATAAAATAGGAGAATCAGTGAATCTGCTATCTGATGTCCTACAGAATCCTCACTGTAAACTGGAGAAACTGTGGTAAGATCATATTTGACTCTCACTCATGAATCACAATGTAAAGTATATTTGAAGTGTTCAGCCTCTTTCTGCTGCTGTGAGTTCAGCTGATTGAGCTGTAAATGAACACACGAGCTGATCCTCAATAACATGAAACTGCAGGACTGAGAGTCACACTGAAATACACACTTTCACACACAATCAACATTTCAGTCTTTTGACTTTGAACAGACTCGAGCTCAACACCGTCAGAACTGAGAAATGAAGAACATCCCGGGTTCATTATTATTGTTAATTATGTTTAACTTTTTGCATTGACACTTTCTGATGTATTGTTTTTAATTTTGTAGCATAAAATCTCTCTCTCTCTCTCACACACACACACACACACACACACACACACACACACACTAATTCATTCTCGATACATATTACATAGTACAGATCACAGTAAAACTAATCTGTAGTGAAAACAGTAATTTATTAAAGCAGATTTTGCACAAGACTGACTTTTATTATAGTGCAAATAAGAGATTCTTTTTCCTGATTGAATGATACTTAAGATGTTTTATGATCATGTTTTATGACATTTTATATCTCAATCTAATGATCCATCAGACACATTAATTTGTGCTTTAAGTTTGAACTTTCTCTTAATTAAATAATGGATTCACTGCTAAACTGATCTGATCTGAACTGAGAGAGTGAAGAGTGTGTCGTTGTTCTCTACAGGTTGTATAAGTGTGGCATCACAGATGAAGGTTTTGCTGCTCTGACTTCAGCTCTGAGATCAAACCCTGAACACCTGAGAGAACTGAGTCTGTCTGGGAATAAAATAGGAGAATCAGTGAATCTGCTGTGTGATGTACTACAGAATCCTCACTGTAAACTGGAGAGACTGTGGTAAGATCATATTTGACTCTCACACATGAATCACAATGTAAAGTATATTTGAAGTGTTCAGCCTCTTTCTGCTGCTGTGAGTTCAGCTGATTGAGCTGTAAATGATTGAACACACGAGCTGATCCTCAATAACATGAAACTGCAGGACTGAGAGTCACACTGAAATACACACTTTCACACACAATCTGTAAAATGAAAACACACACACATGCACTAATTGATACTCCATAGGCTAGTTTTACTATGTTACTTAGTTCTGTACTATGTAGTGAATAGAGCAGTCATTTTTAATTTTTACACCAAGTACCACCTTAGAAAATATTTGTCTCTCCTAGTATCACCATAATGACAATATTAAAATACAGTGGCGTAGTTGGCCTAACTATTCCACTACAGCTATGACCAGCTCAAAACAAGGCAGGTTTAATCCTAATAAGAATTTTTTTAATGTCAGCCACTTTAAACATTGCAAATACACAGTTTGAACATTAACACTGCATTGTGCTGCTTACATGCAGGTCAATAAAAACTTAAATAATGATTAAATTAAAATGTACTGGACCTAAAATTGGTTTCATGCATTCATTGCTAAGAACTTTGCTACATAACACACACTGCGGCCTGGGCTCTTCCTCTCTCCCACTCCAATAAATCCACATTTGATGTAGTCCGAGTCATAATTAGTAATAACTTGATGAATCTGTTTGAGATCGAATTAATGCTAAATGTTTTGCTATAAATTACGGGCATGGCATCTGAGGACTATTTCTCTCTTTCTTTTCAGTCATTTTGCTTTATTTCCAGATTCAATCATAGGTTTGTTCTTACGTAGGCTACTAGAGCACATACTTACATGCGCACACTTAAAAAAAACAATGCTTTAAATCTCTTGACAAACTAAAAGATGTAAATGACATTTATATTAGATCTAAATAAAAGATACAGATTGTACTGAATAGCTTGCTTATTTAGCTCAAGATAAGGATTTATTGAGTCCACATGCCATGAAAACTAGAAACTATTCTTCTAACCACAGGTCGAGAGCTGTCGTTCCAACCACACAACTTTGCGATTGTTCGTTAAAACAATGGTTTCAGGAAACACTGACTTGTTGAACTACATTGATAATGACGGAACATGCAACCATTTTACATTACATTTACATTTATGCATTTGGCAGACACTTTTATACTAAATGACTTACATTGCATTTTTAAGGTACACATTTACATTCTTATCAGTTCTTGCTTTCCCTGGGAACCAAACCCATGACCTTGACGTAAGCGGCAACACTCGACTGTTTGAACTACAGGAAACCATACTTGGCTAACAATACTTTTGGGAAACACAACACTGATCCGCACTTCTCTTGCCAGACTGAAGCCACGATAGATATCAATTTCATTGAACTTTTAACCATTTCATCATCAACCAGTAAAATAATATTTAATTCAGTGATTCCTCTGCGTACCACAGTTTGAGAATCAGTGAAATAGAGTCATTTATTAAAGCAGATTTTGCACAAGACTGACTTTTATTATAGTGCAAATAAGAGATTATTTTCCTGATTGAATGATACTTTAGATGTTTTATGATCATGTTTTATGACATTTTATATCTCAATCTAATGATCCATCAAACATATACATTTGTGCTTTAAGTTTGAACTTTCTCTTTAATAATGGATTCACTGCTAAACTGATCTGATCTGAACTGAGAGAGTGAAGAGTGTGTCGTTGTTCTCTACAGGTTGAGGGATTGTGGCGTCACAGATGAAGGTTTTGCTGCTCTGACTTCAGCTCTGAGATCAAACCCTGAACACCTGAGAGAACTGAATCTGTCTGGGAATAAAATAGGAGAATCAGTGAATCTGCTGTCTGATGTCCTACAGAATCCTCACTGTAAACTGAAGAAACTGAGGTAAGATCATATTTGACTCACACATGAATCACAATGTAAAGTATATTTGAAGTGTTCAGTCTCTTTCTGCTGCTGTGAGTTCAGCTGATTGAGCTGTAAATGATTGAACACACGAGCTGATCCTCAATAACATGAAACTGCAGGACTGAGAGTCACACTGAAATACACACTTTCACACACAATCTAATGTAAAATGAAAACACACACACATGCACTAATTGATACTCCATAGGCTAGTTTTACTATGTTACTTAGTTCTGTACTATGTAGTGAATAGAGCAGTCATTTTTAATTTTTACACCAAGTACCACCTTAGAAAATATTTGTCTCTCCTAGTATCACCATAATGACAATATTAAAATACAGTGGCGTAGTTGGCCTAACTATTCCACTACAGCTATGACCAGCTCAAAACAAGGCAGGTTTAATCCTAATAAGAATTTTTTTAATGTCAGCCACTTTAAACATTGCAAATACACAGTTTGAACATTAACACTGCATTGTGCTGCTTACATGCAGGTTAATAAAAACTTAAATAATGATTAAATTAAAATGTACTGGACCTAAAATTGGTTTCATGCATTCATTGCTAAGAACTTTGCTACATAACACACACTGCGGCCTGGGCTCTTCCTCTCTCCCACTCCAATAAATCCAAATTTGATGTAGTCCGAGTCATAATTAGTAATAACTTGATGAATCTGTTTGAGATCGAATTAATGCTAAATGTTTTGCTATAAATTACGGGCATGGCATCTGAGGACTATTTCTCTCTTTTCAGTCATTTTGCTTTATTTCCAGATTCAATCATAGGTTTGTTCTTACGTAGGCTACTAGAGCACGTACTTACATGCGCACACTTAAAAAACAATGCTTTAAATCTCTTGACAAACTAAAAGATGTAAATGACATTTATATTAGATCTAAATAAAAGATACAGATTGTACTGAATAGCTTGCTTATTTAGCTCAAGATAAGGATTTATTGAGTCCACATGCCATGAAAACTAGAAACTATTCTTCTAACCACAGGTCGAGAGCTGTCGGTCCAACCACACAACTTTGCGATTGTTCGTTAAAACAATGGTTTCAGGAAACACTGACTTGTTGAACTATGTTGATAACGACGGAACATGCAACCATTTTACATTACATTTACATTTATGCATTTGGCAGATGCTTTTATACTAAATGACTTACATTACATTTTTAAGGTACACATTTACATTCTTATCAGTTCTTGCTTTCCCTGGGAATCGAACCCATGACCTTGACGTAAGCGGCAACGCTCGACTGTTTGAGCTACAGGAAACCATACTTGGCAAACAATACTTTTGGGAAACACAACACTGATCCGCACTTCTCTTGCCAGACTGAAGCCACGATAGATATCAATTTCATTGAACTTTTAACCATTTCATCATCAACCAGTAAAATAATATTTAATTCAGTGATTCCTCTGCCTACCACAGTTTAAGAATCAGTGAAATAGAGTCATTTATTAAAGCAGATTTTGCACAAGACTGACTTTTATTATAGTGCAAATAAGAGATTATTTTCCTGATTGAATGATACTTTAGATGTTTTATGATCATGTTTTGTGACATTTTATATCTCAATCTAATGATCCATCAAACATATTAATTTGTGCTTTAAGTTTGAACTTTCTCTTTAATAATGGATTCACTGCTAAACTGATCTGATCTGAACTGAGAGAGTGAAGAGTGTGTCGTTGTTCTCTACAGGTTGAAGGATTGTGGCGTCACAGATGAAGGTTTTGCTGCTCTGACTTCAGCTCTGATATCAAACCCTGAACACCTGAGACATCTGGATCTGTCTGAGAATAAAATAGGAGAATCAGTGAATCTGCTGTGTGATGTACTACAGAATCCTCACTGTAAACTGGAGAAACTGTGGTAAGATCATATTTGACTCTCACACATGAATCACAATGTAAAGTATATTTGAAGTGTTCAGCCTCTTTCTGCTGCTGTGAGTTCAGCTGATTGAGCTGTAAATGATTGAACACACGAGCTGATCCTCAATAACATGAAACTGCAGGACTGAGAGTCACACTGAAATACACACTTTCACACACAATCAACATTTCAGTCTTTTGACCTAAACAGACTCGAGCTCAACACAGTCAGAACTGAGAAATGAAGAACATGCCAGATTTATTCGTACTGTTAAAGGAGTAGTTCACTTTTAAAAACTTTTGCTGATAATTTACTCACCCCCATGTCACCCAAGATGTCCATGTCATTCTTTCCTCGAAAAGAAATTAAAGGGGGGGTTGATTGCGATTTCACTTTTTTCATTTTAAATAGTGTGTAATGTTGCTGTTGGTGCATGAACAGTATCTGCAAAGTTGCAGCGCTGAAAGTTCAGTGTAAGCAGAGATATCGTCTTTTAAAAATCAGGAAGATTGCCTACAAAAACGACTCGATTGGGACTACAGCTGGGTTTTAGATGTCACTAACCCACACATTTGCATCAACCCTCCCTCCGGAATATGCAAAAAAGGGCATGCGCATATTTCTCCGGCTCGTCGAGTGTGTGTTCACGCAGCTGTCAGGTCTTCTGTGTTTCGGGCTTCCCACGGATGCTGTACTTCAACAATGGATACAATTTATGTTTGATTATGTTCCTGAAAATGACGATCGTAATCTAGCTCTCTGTGCTGCGCATTTTACGGAAGGCAGCTTCCAGAATCTCCACGAGTTCAATGCCGGATTCAACAAGAAACTGTTACTAAAACATGAAGCAGTTCCAGCTTTAAAACCAGAGACAGCAGTTGTAGGGCCACAACCTGTAAGTAGGCTAAGACTTCATCATTTTAAATGTATTTGCATGTATAATTTCAGACGTAGCCATGTGTTTTATTTTTATCCAATGTCAGCGCTGGCTTTATAGCCACTATAGGCTACTAGTTATGCTATTTTGTGTCTACAACAAACGCATACAAACATTATGGACCTGAATTTTGTATAAGTACCAATGTTGTAAATGTATTTTTCATGTATATATGCTTTATGACGTTATTTTCGATTTGATCAAGAACGTAAACTAATGCCAACGCTGTTTCAGTTTAACATTAGTAGCCAGTCAGTTTCTATTGTTGCCAGTCAGATGCTATTGTGTAAAACAAACGTGTATAAAGTTAAAAAATGTAGCAAATTATCATTCAGAAACGCCGTATGTGGTGAGGTTCTGTGCAGTCTCTTCATCGCCGCTTTCTCGTTCTGATTATGCCTCAAACTGATACTGCAGTTCGACACCATTATTTACATCTGGACCAGAGCGCAGGGACGTTTCGCTCGTAAAGGTAATGGGTGTTAACCTTCCCGACAACGTGAGCGACAGTTTAGCCAATCACAACACACCGGCCCAAACTAACCAATCTGAGCCCACTACCTGTTTCAACCGCTCGTTCAGGGGACAGAGGAGAGCGCGGCTGACAATAAAGGTAAAGTTTGTGAAAAATAAGACTTTTAAAAAAAAAAAAAACACGAATACATGTTATATTGCACCCCATAAACACAATCATGCAAAGAAAAAAAACAGTCAACCCTCCCTTTAAGGTTTTTGATGAAAACATTCCTGGATTTTTCTCCATGTAATGTACTTTACTGGGAACCAAACGGTCCAAGGTCTAAAATACAGTTAATGAGAGTTTCAGTGCAGCTTCAAATGGCTTTAAACGACACCAGACGATGAATAAGGGTCTTTCTTGCGAAATGATCGGATATTTCAAAACTAAATCAAAGAATATTTTATAAGGACAAATACTCGCCTTTCTCCATTCTCCGTTTTTATATTTGCACACGTTTTTTTGTATTTGCATGCGTCTTCATCAGGTTGCAGCGCGGTGAGCTCTCTCGGCCACCGTAAAAACGAGATTTAAGTAAGAAGGAGAAAACAATGGTGTTTGAGACTCACTGTGTGTCATGTCCATGTACTGAACTCTTGTTATTTAACTATGCCAAAATTATTGATTATTGATTCAATTTCACATTCTAGGTCATCTTTAATAATAGATTCACTGCTAAACTGATCTGATCTGAACTGAGAGAGTGAAGAGTGTGTCGTTGTTCTCTACAGGTTGAGTAAGTGTGGCATCACAGATGAAGGTTGTGTTGCTCTTGCTTCAGCTCTGAGATCAAACCCTGAACACCTGAGAGAACTGAATCTGTCTGGGAATAAATTAGGAAAATCAGGAGTGAAGAAGCTCTCTGTTCTGAAGGATGATCCACATTATAAACTGAAGGAACTAGTCTACTGTGAGTATATTTTTATTTCAAGCCTTTAAATTGACCCAATCTCAGTAACAGACATCAAATGTGTGAAACTGGAGCATAAAAGAGAATAATTCAGCTCCACTTTAGTCTCTGTAAAGCTTTTTTAAAGGGATAGTTCACTTTGATATTAATTTTTGGTATGTTTTATCTTACCTCAAGGGCATCCAAGATGTAGGTGTCTTTGTTTCCACAGTATTTTCAATTTTGACATTTTTAGGTCAAACCGTTGTTTGTCACTCATAAAATGGAGTTTTAGGGGGTTCACCTCAAAGAGCATGCACAGAGAAGTCAAAATTAAACATGATTTAATGACTCATAATCTATGGTTTGTGTGAGAAAACGAACAGTATTTACATAGTTTTTACATCTTGTTAACAGCTACGTGCACTGATCTGAATCAGATGTCCAATTGAACTGGGTAGATACGTTAGATGTATCTAAATATGTTTAGTGAAAGGTAAAACTTCCGAAATCTCTGTGTAAACAATGCGTGACGTAGACGCGCGAGAGATCACTTCCGGCGTAGCGTTTGGACACGGTTCATTTCGGTTCAGTTGTACATCTGATTCAGATCAGTTCGATGGCTGTTAACAAGAGGTAAAAACGATATAAATACTGCTCGTTTTCTCACACAAACCGCTCGTTTCGTGTCTTAGGCCATCAATGTGTACTTACATTTACGAGTCATTAAATCATGTTTAATTTGGACTTCTCTGTGCATGCTCTTTGAGGTGGACCCCATAAACCTGCATAATATGACTAACAGACAAGAACGGTTTGACCTAAAAATGTCAAAATTGAAACTACTGTGGAAACAAAGATACCTACATCTTGGATGCCCTTGAGGTAAGCTAAAACATATCAAAAATTTATTTCAAAGTGAACACATAATCCTCTTACGTTTTATTGTTTTATTGTAGGACTCAGTGTTTAGACGTCAGTCCAGTTTCCTCAGGATCAGCTGATGGTGAATAAGGAGCCGCTACAGAGACTGAAGACACAGAGACACACTGAGATCAAGCTGAAGTGTGTGTGTGTGTGTGTGTGTGTGTGTGTGTGTGTGTGTGTGTGACTTCACACCAGTCTCTTGTTTTACAGTATAACAGCTTTGAATTATTTATAAAATCTGAGACTACAGAAAAGTTCAATGTTGTATAAATTTCTACCAGCAGAAGGAGACAAAGTATATTATGTATATTATATACAAAGGTTTATGAAACTCCAAAACTAACATCCCAAAGGAACTGAACACAAGAGAGTGCATGTGCAAGAGAGAGACAATGGGAAGACAGGAACAATCTTTAAAACAGACTGTGCTGCATTAATCATAGACTAACTGATCTATAAATGAACATGCTTCATAGCATTGTGTAAATGATTTACTGTCTTGTGTACTATTATCTACATAGTATGGTATGTACCTTGGTATACAACCAACTAACAATCAATGTAAACATCGCCTGTATCATGCCTCCTACCTAATTAATCCTCATTTAATGACTCACACTTTGATGGACATCACCTTCTTCTAGAATGCAGTGTGGATGTGTTATATCCATCTGAGCATTAATGAAGGGATGACCACGCTTGGGACAAAGACTCGTAAATTTACTAGAGCAACCTTCCCACTCGGACATTTCACCATGCTTATTGGTCCAGTCGAACCTTAGGGGTTGGATCTTTCTCAGGCTTTATAAGAGACAGTCCACATGTGACCTCTCTCTCTTAGTTTTTCATCCAGCCACAAACACTGTTTCTGGTGATACTGGGGAACCCCTTCCCTCTCCACGGGGCCCAGCAGGCCTTGATCCAACCAGATATGAGCTCATGCAGGAGAGAGAAGACTCTCTCACAAAGAACCATGGACAACTGTTTAGTTTATTATCATGATTTATTCATGTTTATGGTAAAACTTGTGCACTTTATGTATTTGGTTCTGATTCACTGCTTGCAAACAAAGTCTCTTTTATGATCTTTATCTGCTACATGCTTATAAATAATTATTCTTCTGTGGCCATGAAAGATACCCTTTTCTTAGAATAAATTCATAAACAACAGAGTTTGTTGGACGAACTGATTATCTGATTGTAATATTATTAGCCATGTCAAGTTAACCCAATTAACTGAACCAAATAGTAATAATTAATCATAACAAGTTATTATTGATTATTAATATTTCCTATAGCTAATTCCTTACATTATCTATTTTGGAATATGACCAGCTGTTAAAGTTTCCACCAAAATCTTCACATTCTTTTACTGGTTTATTTTTTTTAACAGACATCTTAGAGACGAACGTGTGCTATCTGTGGTAAAAACTAATTTTGACTACCAAGGGTTAAAAGCTAAGATAAAACCTATTTTCTCGTCTAGATCCTGGAGACGATCATCTATGCATTTATGTCATTCAGAATGGACTATTGTAATGTCCTGTATTTAGGACTTTCTCAGTCATTGGTGAATCTGCTGGTTCAAAATGCTACATAAGACCATCCTGATATTGACCGGGCCTATAAGAAAGAGGGACAGAATCACTCTGATTTTAACATCATTGCAAAGTTTACCTGTCAGTATTGACTATAATGCCATATTAATCATTTTAACCATCTTGCTTCAGGGACCGCGGGCCCTTTTCGATTGCCGGAGGTTATGGAATAATTTACCGATCACCATCCGTTCTACCTCCACTTTCAACATTTAAAACTTCATCTTTGTTTGTTTTTCTTGATTGTTTTATACAGCACTTTGAGTTGCACTTGAGACAAATGTGATTTAAATAAGAAAACTAAACTAAACCACATGTTGTAGTGATGTATCTTGAAAAGTTGGATTTTGTCTACTCCTGGTGGCAATTTTCATGAACTACAGTCTGTTATCTGTGGTATTTTATTGTATCTGACTGGTTAAATATTTGTTACGCTGCTGCAGAACGAGGCAAATATGAATGACAGATTATACAGTTAAATGATAACCAAATGACTCTGGAAGGACAAATATGTCTTTCTTGTTCTTTTCACTGCCTTTATTATTCCACAGCATAGGACAAATATCCGACTTTTTACACCACTACATTCCACAAACGTCTGCCATTCAAAAAAAGTCTGTCATTGTTTTTGATATTAGAAGAAGATATCGAGACCCAATAGCAAAATCCGAATCGTGAACTAGTTATATTTTTTACGTGAATTATTAAGGCACATAAAATATTGCTTATCATCACTCCATGTTGACCACACAGTTTGTGGTACTGACCAGAGACAAACTACGAGCACAAATGAGTGATAGATGACCGAGCCAATGAGAGTAGTTGTGGGCGGGGCGATGCATACTAGCCACGCCCACGCCGCGTACCAGCGCGCGAAAGAGTCAAGTGCAGTGCTGAGAGAGTTTGACTAGTCCAAGCTGAAAATGGTCGTGTCGCTGACTACGACGAGGCTGAGTTTGAATTGTGGACCGTCGACGGATGGCGGACAGAGATATGAAGGAGATATTTGATGATTCACAGAAAAAACAATACGTCAATTACAGGTAACAGTTCGATTTTCGATTCGGTTGGTGAATTTCACAGTATCGCGTGCCACTCTGCCCAAAGCCCGTTAGTCTCGTTTTCACGTCATGTTCTGATATACGGACCATTCTAAGTTAGTGTTTTATGCCTTGAGAGAGGCTTTCCTGCTGTCCTGTCCACACACTGATTAAATGACAAAAATATAATTATGACAAGCATACTGAACAAGTGCGAGTTAAAAACAGAGCAGTGAGGAAACGTTTTTCATTCAGTGCATATTGGAATGATTAAATAATTCAGACAAATACATCTAAAGTATTAGTTATGCTCTAAAATAAAAAGTCATGGCTGCAATGGAAATGTTATGTGTACAGCGTTGATGTTATTGTCCTGTCTGTAGTTCTGGTTCACATGTTGTATCCATATTTGATTGTAGGCTATTAAAGAGTAACTAAACACTAAGCCAACTTTTTTTAGTTAATAATCTGTAAGAATGGATCTTTATTAATATCAGTCATTGATTCGAGTAACTTTTTTGACATTTGTTTTGTTTATAAAGTGTTCTATTTCTACAATATATGGTGTAAAAACGTCGTAGTGCTGCCCTCTTCAGGTTGAACGGTGGCTACTGCAGTTGAACACTTCGTGACGTACGCAGGTTTCAGCTCACCACGCGAGCTACGCCCTTGGCAGTATAAAAACCATCTTGTGTCGTCAAAACACTGTAGGGAGTCAGGAATTGGAATTGTGAGTATTGAAAACGATCAGGATAGAGTGTTTTAGCATCTATTTCGTCCCCTCTATCTCTGCTGGGGTCAGCCCACTTTTTCAGCATTTTCAAATATTGTCAGTGGGTTTAGTTACCCTTTAACAAGGGAACGGCAGACCTGATAGTGATACTTGATGCCAACAAACAAATACTTGACCGGCTCTGTGGCTTTCTCTTGATCTATTTAACTAAATCTAAACACCTAATATGTTTATTTTAGAACAAATGGATGTCCAAGGGCAAAGTCAAGTGCTGACTGAAGCAAAGAAGCGTAAAAATGTCACAAAAAAGAATTTATCACAAAGCAAAAGAACTACAAAGACCAACAAGTCTTTCACTTGCTCTGAGTGTGGAAAGAGTTTCACACTGAAAGGAACCTTTAAAAAGCACCAACTAATTCATACTGGCGAGAAGCTTCACACGTGTCCTCAGTGTGGAAAGAGTTTCATGCTAAAAGGCCACCTTAACAGACACATGAGAATCCACACTGGAGAGAAACCTCACGCATGTCTTCAGTGTGGAAAGAGTTTTTCACAAAAGATTAATCTCAGTCGTCATCTGCGCTGTCATGAAAAACCATTCAGCTGTGATCAGTGTGACAAGAAGTTCAGATCCTCATCATATCTCAACAAACACCTGACAGCTCACGCAGTCGAGAGGCCGTACTTGTGTCCAGTGTGTGGAAAGAGTTTTTCACGGCTGGCCAATTGCAGAACACACCAGAAGATCCATTCTGTGAAAAGTCATGCTTGTGTGGAGTGTGGCAAGACCTTCGTCATACTTGAACGTCTTAAAAGGCATATGAAAAGTCACTCTGAAGAAAGACCGTTCACATGCACTCAGTGTGGATATGGATTCAAAGTGAAAGTCCACCTGAACAAACACATGAGGGTTCACACTGGAGAGAAGCCGCACACGTGCCATCAGTGTGGGAAGAGCTTCATACAGTTGTCGGGTCTCCGCTATCATATGCAACGTCACTCTGGAGAAAAACCTTATCGTTGTGATCAGTGTGGGAAGACATTTACATCGTCATCAATTCTAAGAAGACACCTGATGGTTCATGCGGATGAGAGGCTCCATACGTGCTCTCTATGTAAGAAGAGTTTTTCACGAGCGGATAATTTGAAACAGCACCAAAAAGTACATGATGCTGTACGGGATCACATGTGTTTCGAGTGCGGGAAGAGCTTTATAGCAGCGAGTCATTTGAAAAATCACCAAAAAATTCACACTGGAGAAAAACTGTTCAGCTGCTCGCAGTGTGGAAGGAGTTTCACACAAAAAAGCCACTTAAACAAACACTCACATATTCATGACGGTGAGGGGCCGCAAACAACGCGTTATCATTGCTCAAGTAAATAATCTGAGATTCTGAGAATGCAATTGTTTTAAGTTATTGTTCAAATGAAGTTGTTTTTACTTCATTGTTCAAATACACTTGTACACTTTTGAGGAGAGAAAGTTAAAATGTCTGTTTAAAACCATCCTATAGGGGGCAGACAAGTTCCCGTTACTCACGGTCACTCATTTATTTGTAAAATATGAAGTGACTTTTACAGTAGGACATTTAATATAGCCTATTCTCTGACATGTTTGTGATTTACCGTCTGTACTTTGGATGTTTCCGTCTCTTGATCCTTTTTCATCAGACTCACCCTGATCTGAGATTGTTTTCGTGGGATTCTTTCTTCCTTTTGAAATAAAGACTTTTTTTTTAAAAAAAACGAGGAAATAAAAATATCGGATAAATATGTGGACGAAGTCCGCTTTCTTTTTTTCTTTCTCTTCAGAAGAGAGATGGGAAGCTCACATGCCTTTACTAATGTTTACTAGTCGAATATGCACAAGCATTTCCACTCATCCTAAGTTGTCAAACCACTGCAGTGAATTTTTGTCATTGATTAATTTATGTAGCCTATATAAAGTCAATTAATATAAAGCTATATAAACGTCGACGTTAAAGCTATAGTGGCTACTCAACAACCTTCTACCATATTGACCATAATTTTTAATGATCAATGAGTCGTAATGTATAAAGACATGTTCTTATTTTTGAAAACGTATTCCATATGTAATATAATATAGGTTAACACGAAGCGCTTTTATAGCTGAGGGAGGTAAAATCCTGCATGGCGTACATCTGTCCACCAGATGGCGCGCTTCTCAAACTTATTCAAACTCGTTAAAGTTCGTGACGGCTGTTTCTAATCCTGGGGAAACACTCAGTGCCATTCTGCTGAGGCACATTTAATAACATTAGACATATCCCTTTAAGTAAATTGGATTTTTTGACAGATGCTTACCAACTTTATTTAGACTTAAATGTGGACAAAAGCATGCAATCTAGTACTAAACTAACAAGCCTATATGTGTGAGCCGGCATCGGCACGGTGAACTCCACTCTTGTGATTGTCTATCTTCATCCTTACAGAGAGAGAGAGAGAGTCCCGTCCCTTCAGTTCAGTGGGCGTGGTGTGCGTGTGTGTGTGAGTGGGAAAACAAACAGCAGACAAACAACAGTACTTCCTACATCTTCGTTCAACTCGAGCGTTATCTCGCGTCAAGCGTCTCTCTCGCGCGTAGTGTTTACAGTGAGTCCTGCTGAGCTCAGAGGACGCGCGTCCCATCACTAAATGACGCGCCGCAGCGCTGCAGATTTACATCCACTCCACAGTTCGACACGCGTTCAACATAGATGGACCCGCATCATCTGAGGACTTCAGAGTGATATTACTGTTGTGCTTGTGTTTTTCCCTTTCCTTTTCGTAAAATGAGCGGAGGGGAAATCATCTGTCAGGGATGGTTGAGAAAGTCGCCACCCGAGAAGAAGCTGCGGAGATATGTAAGTGTTTTCTACGCTTATGTCAGAATGTTGTGCTTTATAGCCTATGTTGCCTACCTGTGATGCAGAAAACTTAACTTTTATTAACCAACTCTCTGATTGCAAGATATTCGTCCTCATGAAATAAATAGCAATGGTGAACATTAGTTTACAAGTCCACTTTACTGTGTTTTTATGACAATTTTGTTGGTAAACAAACCCAGACTTAGATGGGTTGCTGGTCTTAGCTGGTTTAGGCTGGACTAGGTGGTTTTATTGTTTGGTTAAGCATGCATTTAACTGGTTGGACTGCTAACAAGTGCCCAAAACCCCTTTAAAACCTACAAAACAGACTGGCCGAGTTTTCTTCTTCTTTTTTTAGCAGATAAAACTGATATTTATGATAATCTAATATCATATATATTAGAGAGTGCAATAATAAAGCAGAGTGTCTAATGGGCACTATTGTTATGATTTTGCTATTTGTTCACAATTTCTAAAATCAAAATACTGCCAACTGATATTGATTTTAATGCAGACCATGATGTCAATATCAGGACAGCAGGGCGGCAAATAGAAAGATGATTTATACATTACACAAATTAAAGGTACAGTCAGTGGTATTGGTACACAAAAAAAAATAAATGATCAGCATTTCATCACTTCTAAAAAAAAAAGAAAAAAAAAAAGGAAGCCTTCTGTATGGTGTGGCGGGCAGTCGTGAGTCGTGGGTGATGCCATGTCATGCAATTGACAAAACGTTTATCTTTATAATGCTTTTAACAATCAGTACTCATGTTTTACAAAGCATAACATTAATGTCTAGTATATGATGAAAAAGGAACAAAACAAAAGTGTGGTATTAAAATGTAGCAATTGCTAAACAGACTAAACTTCATGCATCCAGACCAATAGGTGGCAGTGTAGTCCAAAACACTCTCAGACGAATCTAGCTATCTGAACGTTAAGAACATTTTTAATGATGACAAGACACAAAACTGCAAAAAATCCAACAAATACCTATTTTACACAAAATTTCCTCAGTATAAAAGCATTAAAACCAAAATGCGCAATCGTTACATTTCAAAAGTGACACAAGGAGGAACTAACTGCCGTTTATTGTCCAGCATTTTTAGTTGCCGTTGCTGATAATAGACCAACATGCTGTATATCAGTCAGGACTTGATTATTTACCAATGCATATCATTCTAAATTAGCCAAATATTAATCAGCCTTGGCTGCGTTTCCCAAAAGCATCGTAAGCCTAAATCGGTCTATGATCCACTTAGGCTCATGATCCTTTTGGGAAATGCAGCCATGGTCAATGTAGTCTTTATTGTTGTCCCAACCTTAGCAGGTTCAGCCTGTTTGGCACTAGCATCTGTCATGTAAAACAGACAAACGAGTTCATGTACTATCATTAAAACACACAACCACACGCATTTATTATTTTCGGATTAACACCAATAATACCTTCTTTATAATAAGATTATGACTAATATAATCTGGACTTAATTGAACTATAGAAGCTGAGCACAATGGGGTTTGAAGACACCACAGAGACACCGTCTGTCTCCTAATTCTGTTTTGGGACAGCTGTCTACGCAACTGTTCCTGTTAAAACTGTTTACAGCCCCTCTTTCATCTGACGTTAGTTTGCTAGAAGCCAGTTGCTGTATTATTGTAAACTGGAGACCTTGGACCGTTGGACATGTGGAGGCCTTACATCCTTCTTTGGTGCCTGAGCGTTGGGAGACCGTTGCTTTCCGGTTTTGCCAGAGCAGATAATGCGTCCCGCACAAAAGCTGGGAAGGCCTTCGGTCTTAGATCTCATAAATACAGCTGTCTCGTGTTTATCTACAGTGTTGCATTACAGGACTTCTCCATCCTCCTACCTAACTTTGCCATGATGTCATCTCATTCTCCCGCTCTCTCTTTCTCCTTCCTTCTCTCTCGGTTTCATTGGGAGAGCCCGTATCTGCATGTCCTCAGATGCACACATGCTAGGTCATTTCCTCATTGTCTTCCACATAAAGCAGCCCTGTCTTATGTGGAGCTGCACAGGAACTGCTCATGTCAAAATAAGTGGGCAGCTGGGGCTGGGAAGAGGAAAAGCAGACACATGTTTACCTTACAAGTGAAGGTCAATACTCCTTGAATCAGAAAAACACTGTTAAAGGAATAGTTCGCTCAAATTTAACATAGGCTCATTAAAAAAATGCGCCTGCCAAACTTTCCTGCTTAAATGAACCCTGACTGAAGTTAGGCCCTGTTTACACCTGGTATTAAAGGGATACTCCACCGTTTTTTCATTAAACTATGTTACTAAGACGAGTTGATGCGTACCTCTGTCGTCTTATTGCGTGAGACACATTGATGACACTTAACTAGCCCAGTTCATTCAATATGGGCCAAGCAGAGAAGCGACCAAACACATCCACGTTTTCCCTATTTAAATATAGTTACATGAGCAGTGTAACTCGACCTAGGACGGTGACACAAAATAAAACTGGCTGGTGCACGTCCCATAATGTTTACTTATCAGATCAGTAGATGGAGAGTCGATGGTCTTTTGTGGCTGTTCGAACACATTCATTTACACGAAAGCAATTCGGTCAAATGCATTTTTGACAACGTTTTAGACCTCGTTTACACCTGTATTTAGCGTCATACACTTGTGATCCAATCGACCAAAACGCATCTTTAGTCAAGATGCACACTGGGCCTAAAACATCAACAACATGTTAAAATTAAATATTACAGGGGCAGAATATCTATTAATAAAGACATATTTTTGCACGGTTACTTGCACAATTGTATGTTATGATATCAAAGCTTTTTCCATTGTGAATTTATCAAAGCAAAATTCCTAGTGTTAAAGGGATAGTTCACTTTGAAATTCATTTTTGGTATGTTTTAGCTTACCTCAAGGGCATCCAAGATGTTGGTGTCTTTGTTTCCTCAGTATTTTCAATTTTGATATTTTTAGGTCAAACCGTTCTTGTCTGTCAGTCATATAATGGAGGTCTATGGTCACCACCTCAAAGAGCATGCGCAGAGAAGTCCAAATTAAACATGATTTAATGACTCGTAAATGTAAGTACACATTGATGTCTTAAGACACGAAACGAGTGGTTTGTGTGAGAAAACGAACAGTATTTATATCGTTTTTTACCTCTTGTAACCACAGCAACATCCAAGTGATCTGAAGGCACGGGCGCTTTGTGGCTGTGCTTACAAGAGGTAAAAACGATATAAATACTGTTAGTTTTCTCACACAAACCAAACCGCTCGTTTCGTGTCTTAGGCCATCAATGTGTACTTACATTTACGATTCTTTAAATTATGTTTAATTTGGACTTCTCTGTGCATGCTCTTTGAGGTGGTGACCATAGACCTGCATTAAATGACTGATAGACAACAACGGTTTGACCTAAAAATATAAAAATTGAAACTACTGTGGAAACAAAGACACCCGGTAAGGATGCCCTTGAGGTAAGCTAAAACACACCAAAAATTAATTTCAAAGTGAACCATCCCTTTAAATGAACTCTCCTGGTGTACATATGGATATATAAACGAATACATTTTGACATATACGTCACGTGACCAGCTCCATATATATATATATATATATATATATATATATAGATACACTTGGTATTTCAGATGTAGAAACAAAGACTTGTAGAAGCAAGCTGAAATGGCACGGTTGCATCAGCAATTGCATTTTTATCTGTTGTTTGCTTTTAACATTATTTTTTAACTAGTTTTTTAGCGCCACCATTTCATTTTTGAATTTCCACAATACGTACGACAAACAGATTCACGTTCATCTGTTTCGGATAACACTAAACGCACTTTTAGCGCCTCTTCACTGGACATTTCAGTGTTGTGCAAGAAGCTACATAATATTATTTTGCATAAATGTTGCCACAGGTATGCATTTCCAATTAACCTGTTTTGCAAATATAATTATTTTTCAGAATAATTGGTAATAATTGAAGTTTCTTTTGAGCAGTTGTTGTATATCAAGAGTTGCGTAACCATCTAAAAAATATTTATATTTTAGTTTTTAATAAAAAATAACAGCAAAGAAGTGTGCTGCAACATGCAGTTAGTAAATGACAGAGTTTTCACTTATGGCTGAACTATTCCTTTTGTCCACGAGCCGGACATCGTGATGTTGAGGTCTTGCATCCAAACATGTTCTGTCCACAAAGGCTATAAAAGTCAGGTATGGACATTCTGCAGACATTCTCCAATCAGCTGGACAGGGAAAAGCTTGTGCCAAAAGGACTAACTTCCATTTAAAATTCCTTTCACTTAAACATGCTGGTGCTGGACAATGACGGCCATTAAGGGCACTGAATTGCTGTCATCTGACATTACTGGCATCCTCATGTAGAGATATTTTAAGCAGCTGAGTATTTCAGCATTCCTCTTTTAAGGTGTTTTTTAGGGAAAAATGAACTGGACAGTTAGAGCTGGTGGTTAATGATTGATTGGTTTAAATCCTTCCACATGCTTTTGGATGGATGAAGTGTTCAGCTCATATAATTTGTTGCTGGCCTATAAGAGTCTTTGGTTCTTTTGAATCCCGAAGCAAATTCATTACAAAGGTATAAATTTGACTAATGCATTTGCAATAGTGATTGTGAGGCTTCAGCGAATGTTTTGTGGAGCGGTTCGACTTTTCTTGCTTTTCCATTCTTGTTTACCTCAGTTTCAAATAAATATTTCTGTTGTCATAGTTCACAACTTTCCATGCAAGTTCAGCTGTCCTTAAAGTGGAACAGGTAAATACACGCTTTAAAGGGTATCTCCTTAACGTCAATCCTGTCATGTAAATAGTATGCAAATATACATGGCAAACACCCTGGGCAGTTACAGCCTAGAAGCAACAGTTGAAAACTGATGTAGTAAGTTTGCTGAGACCTTTTTGGGAGAGCAACCTATATTTTCCCTTGTCGTTTTTATGATATTTATCTTCATTTAATTATTCCATTTTTTTTTTTTAT